CACACACCACCACACCTGGCTAATTTTTGTATTTTTTAGTAGAGATGAGGTTTCACCATATCAGTCAGGCTGGTCTCGAACTCTGGACCTCAGGTGATTGACCCGATTTGGTCTCCCAAAGTGCTGTGATTATAAACATGAGCCACCGCGCCCAACCCAGTCTCAGATTACAATAGTGATGTTATCTATAGGTACAGCTGGGAAGTTTACAAGTATTGTGACCTCCGGCTACATAACCCCAGAATCATAGTTCTAACCTGGTGGCTAATTTATTTGTTTTACAAAGGTGGTTTTAATCCCTGAGTTAGAAGAGGATTAGTTTCGGAAAAGAACTGGTATCATGTTTGTTTTAAAATTAAACTATAAACTAAATGCCTCCAATAGTTACCCAGGAATAAGCAAGGACAGTATGTGAGGTTAGAAGCAGGATTAAATTAGGTGGCTCAGATTTATCTCACTGTTACAACTTTTGCAAAGGCAGGCTCAATCCTTTCTTTAGGCTGGAGAGTTGCGAGCTAGAGAGATGGGAAAAGGCCAACATCCACTCTAACTTCCTGCAGATGAGAGGCATATTTAGGGTAGGGTTTGGCTTCGAGGTAAGAGGAGTGAAACCATTTTGCAGTTGTCTCTAGTATTCATGGGTGTCTGATTGGGGGTCCAAGATTTGCATGACAAAGATGTTAGTACTCTCATTCACAGTTTTAGCACAGCAAGTAAGTGAGCAGCAAACTGAGCCCTATAAAAAGGAGTGTAAGTCCTAGCTTCATAAGTCGTTGTAGACTGATCTGAAGCATTGAGGATTCCAGGGGAACAACCTTGAGAACCAATCAGATATAGGGTCCCAGGAGAGAGACAGATTTGTGTCAGAGATGGTTAGAAAGACAAATTGGGATAAACGGAAAAGAGCAGATTTTAATATATCATCCCACATCTTTTTTCGTCAATTTCTAGTCCGGAGAAAAAATTAGTTCAGTTAAACATCTATGTACCATTACAAGAGGTGTCATTGTAAATGAGCCAGACCCTTATATATGATGCAGGAAAACATATATTTAATAAGAGACATTTCTACAGGAACAGAAGAAAAACAAAGGTTAATATTAGGAACAATCTATAAACCAGTTTACTTAGATTCTGGAGGGTAGTCAGTTGAAGTATCAGATGTTAGAATTAAAATATCTTTAGTTAAAGAGGAAGAAGGCATTGGCACTCTAACAAGTATGTCTCACCTATATCACAAGGAGTGAGCTTCAATCTGCAGGGCCTCAGGAAAAATGTAGTAGCAATTTAATTGAGTCTAAGTCACAAAAGTGGAAGACAATTTTGAAAACATTAGCTTGGACACTTATAGCCAGGGAAGAATTCAGGATTCAGTCCAAATTGTAGAAAAAAATGACAACTCAAAACAATGAACAAGACTGGAATCTAATAACAAGTGTACAATAGTTTTCTACTATTTTTTCTCTCTCTAGACCCCTTAAACACAAATCATAGTAAGACCTATTCACTAACAAAATAACTTTTAGTCTTATTATTTATGGCCTGATTATTTGCATAAAATGTATCAAGAATAATTATTTGCCACATAGGCCCTTTTTTAAATTGGCTTTGCTGGAACTTTTTTCATAAGGAATCTCAGATTAGACCTTTTTAAAGCCTTGAATTCAGCAAAGGATTTATCTGTGTCTCCAGATACCTGTATGAATTGGGTGAGTTACTCTCTTCTCTATGTCCCAAGACAACCTGGCATTTCTGGGCCTGCCAAAAAGTGACACTCTTTACTTACTAGTTCAGGAGCCCTGTAAAGAAATTGCACAGAGAAGATACAAGACCCCTTTTTTCCAAGGTGCTGTTATTGGCTATATAAAATCAATCTCAATTCCTCAAAGCAGCCTGCTTATGTCTGAAAGGGTGCCATTCCAAAGCCTTGGTAAAATAACCAGTATCTCCACTGTGTTCTGTTACAAATAAAGACATATTCTCTTAAATGTATGCAAAGAATTATATTGCTATCAGTTAAGAATACTCACAGTTTTCAAAATCAGAAGAAATCAGGTAGAAAGAAATAGGCTTTCAATTTTGCTCACAAGAGTATACTTAATTATTTAAAAGCTGCAAATGACTCAAATGAAAACAGTTTTACTGACTGAAAAACAAAACCGAGAGAATCAGTAATAATGTTTCAAACAACAACAACAACAAAATCACTAAAAGATTGTTTTGGTTTTCTATTAATTTAGTCTGTAAGATTAAGTTTTGTTCTGCTCAATACTGGGCCAGAAGTCCTCATGAACACATCAGCTCTCCAAGAGCGTCCTGGAAGCTTTTCTCTCTATTCCAATGGCACAATATCCAAAGTTATCAGAAATCTGCGTTCAAGTCCACCTGTCAGATCGTTACAGCTGATTATGAACTGCTTTTTAAAAAGGATCAAGGTAAAGACAATTATTGTGAATGAAAAAAGTCTTATGACAGTCATAGCCAAAGACTCAATTGACAAGGAAAACTGATGATCTCTGTGGCACACAAAAATCTAACATAATAATAATTATTACTGATAATACATACTGAGACATCAGAAATACAGGAATCTTATATAATTTTGGAACACATACTACTCATACATTTATATAAATATAACTCAAAGAAAGTTAAGCACTATTTCATATGTGACAATGCTTCCCGTATTATTTATATACCAGACAAGCTAATTATATCTCTTTTGGATGTCAAAGGACATAACATCTAAAAAAGTTTATTAGTTCAAAATACTTAATTGAAATTTCGAACTTGAAATTGAAATTTTGATTTTAAAATATTTGTCCAATATCAAATATCAAAAGTTTAAAACACTTGATGTCACCAAATAGAATCACAGTTCATTTATTGGGCCAAAGTGATAACTCAAGATATTTTTTTAAAGGGTAACCCCTTTACCGTTTGATAGGAGACTCAGCTTTCCACAAAAAATAAGAGACCAAATAAAGATAGCATAAGGAGGCTAACTGCATCTGTCTCTCTTTTCTCCCTTCTTTTCTTTCCTTTTTGTTGCAGTTCACTCAAAAAGCAAACAAAAATCTTTCAATATTCCATGAAAATCTTGTATAAAAGGAAAAAATAAATTTACCTTTTCATTAGTGAATTATTAACATTAAAGTTAATTTTTAATAAAATTGTAGAAAGAAATTAATCCAATCAGTTTGATCACACAATAAGATTTTTATAAAACATTCAAATCTTTTATATATTTTTTAAATTAAAGAGTAGATCAGTTCTCCAATAGAACCCTATTATTCTGTCATAGAGGTCTGATTCTGGCTCTGCATCAGTATGTTTTTGGTTTTAATGTTTAATTTATAAAAAAATTAAATAATCCCATTTAAATTTTAGCAAACTTTCTCATATTCAGACTTTCTTTTAGAAGATCAATCTTCTACAAACTTTCTGCAACTTAAACCTTCAGTTTTGTCCTATCTTCCTTTAACTTAATTCTTATAGCTGATAATGAATTGCTTTTTGAAAAGGATCAAGGTAAAACAATTATTGTGCTTTTAATTCTTAAAAGCCTCTAAAATAGAATTACTTTCTTTTCTGGAAACCAGAAAACATCCTTTCTTACAACTTTTTTTGAAAAGAAATTTTGATTTTAAAAATTTTGCCCAATATCAGAAGTTTAAAACACTTGATATTACCGAATAGGATCCTATTTTTAATATGCTATGTATGAATGGTAACTCACTAAACTCTTACTTTTAGTAAAATATATATATATGAGAAGTAGGTAATTTTAATTATGTACCAGGTGCAGAGCCCAGGGCAGAACTGCAGATAATGTTTTATTCTTCCCAGTATAGCCATCGGGCATGGCTAGCTCCACATGTCCCCAGGCCTTACCTAGAATCTAATAGCTCTAAAACAAACAAGTCAAACAATTATCAAAAATGTCACAGAGGCAGTTCATGATCTTAAAACATGTAGCAAAGACTGCATCTGACCTGCCCAATTCAGACCAAATGTCCAAATTCTGATAATGTTTCAATTTTATTTTAACAATAATTTTAAAACTGTATTTACAAAAGATTTCAAAAGTCACATTAACTAAAAGACATTTGAGTTATTTCTTTTATATATAAAATATTTAGTTTAAGCACTTATTTTTCTTTCTTTAAGCCAATTAAAGCTCTTTCATATATTTTGGTAATGAAATATCACATACACATTACACATATAAACATATGGACAAACACACAGACAGAAGCAGATCTTATAGTTTATAAGATACTTCCTTTATTAGAGTCCTTATTGAACACTTTGTAAAGTTTTTCTTACCCATTTTACGTTCTCAATCTCTTGATTACTTGTTCACTTCCCTAAACAATCATCAGCTGGGCAACTCTAAATTTACATTTCTAAAAGGACAACTCTTAGGTGAAATGAGATATAAAATTTGTATTTTAAAAGCACCAAGTTAAGACATTAGGTGTCAATATTGTAGCATCAGAGGTTCTAATGTACACAGGCAGACACTCTTACATTTAGAGATTTCCTTAAATATATAAATTTGTTTTACACAATGGTTTTAAGATACCCAACTAACTACCAGAGAGCTGCATTTTGGCTTTTTAACTTGTGTCTTAATTAAATTCAGGCTTTAGGTTGGAGACTTTAGGAAATACAGGAAGAAACAGGACTAAGAAAGCACACAGGCTTTTAGCATCTAATATTTACATATGTGAGAAGCAAGCATAGCTAGAAGGCAGAATAGATCTCCCCAAATCAAGGATAGCATTTTTGCACCAAATCCTGGGTTCCCCAGAAGATGCAAATACTGTGGGATGAGACAGTGCAATATTTTTACAGTACACTTCACTGTATGGACATTCCCCTGAGGTTGGTGGGCATATTAAGTCTGCTTAATACAGTTGAGACTGTATGAGGCTGCTGATAAGACATACTAAAGACCGGGCAATTTACAAAAGAAAGAAGTTTAATGCACTTACAGTTCCACATGGCTGGAGAGGCCACACAATCAAAGCAGATGGCAAGGAGACGCAAGTCACATCTTACATGGACGGTGGCAGGCGCAGAGAGAGGTTGTGCAGGGAAACTCTCATTTTTAAAACCATCAGATCTCGTAAGACTCATTCATTATCATGACAACAGCACAGGAAAGCCCCTCCCCGCCATAATTCAATCACCTCCTACCAGGTTCCTCCCATGACATGTGGGGATTGTGGGAGTTACAATTCAGGATGAGATTTGGGTGGAGATACAGCCAAACCATATCAGCAACCCAATGCCAGTTAATCCGCTCTGTAATTAGCCCATCTCCCTTAGGAATCTCATCCCTCAGTGGGGAGTCAGGATTTTTCTATACCTTCTACATGCTCAACCGTACACTTTGCTTGAAGCAAATGCCAATAGCTATCTCTAAAGGAATACCTTTAATTTAGCTATTACATACGTCAAGGTTAAAAATTTTCTCACAATACAAAGTAATTACTGGTACCCTCAAAAGCTAAAAAGATGAAACAACACAATGTAAAAGCTTACAGCCATTGAGTTTCCTTGATGAGAACAGAGTTTCCTCCAAATGGCGTTTTTTTCTGTTTTTCCCAAGAAGTCCCAGGCTGTTAGAAATTATGCTAGGTCCTCCCATGTGGGCACTGAAGGTGGCAAGAGAAAGAAGCAGAAGATAAAGGTAAATGGAAAAACAGACAAAATTCAATTGACTGAGTTTTTACAGGGAGAGAACGGAGACCTTAAAACTATTTCTATAATATGTGTATACACACACACATATATAGCCTCTATGTCAGTTTTAATTAAGTTGACTTTTGACTATAGAACTTCAAGAAAAATCTTTTCAAATCTTTTGTTACCAGATTTGAGCCAGGATAAACAGCTGATGTTTCTAGCCTTTGAACTTCTTTACCAAAGGTAACCTTTTATTTGAAACCAATAAGCCTTAACCAAGGTTATGACTTAACCATGAACACAGCAGATGACTCCAAAAAGGCAGCAAGGAGTTTGTACAAGGTATAGAATTGAAAGGAGTTAGTTAGCTTGTCTTAGGTAGATAATAAAGGAAGGGTCCCAGAAAGCCCCTGGCTCATGGGTCAGTGCCTCATCCCCATATAACATAAAAAGCAGCCTGGGAAAAACTTTCAAGCTTTGGGCACCGATAAGGGAATGAGTACAGAGTGTTGTGCCTGGAGACATGCCCACGGTTACACAGATGAACAAACCTCCAGCCCATTTGGATAAAAATGTTGCAGAAACCTCCAGCTCATTCAGATAAGGGAAGAAGGTCTGTCATAGAAATGTCTTTTCCTTTGTATAGTCAGTAGGCTCCCCGGAAAAGTTTCTTCTCCTTTTGTGGGTATGGGAACGGTGGGCTCTGGTGCGTTCGGTGGGCGCTCTACTTTCCTTTAGGAGGAGTGTAAGTCCGGCTTCTATGAATCATCACCTCAGCCCTTGATTGGTCCTGGGCCAAGGTCCTGGGCCAACCTTTCACTTCAGCCTCTGATAGGTCCTGGGCCAAACTAAGCGGCATCAATGAATCATTTCGGCTCCTGATTCATCCCGGGCCAAGGTCCTAGGCCAAGCTGAGTCACGCATTCGCCAACACAGCTCTCAGACTAAACACACTTCTTCCCCTTCCCAGCCCTGGAACCCAGCCTCATAGTGGGTACTCCCATTTGGGAGCCCCTCTCTGCTAGCAGACATTTCTTCTTTCACTTACTAAACTTTCACTCTCACCTCAGCTTTGTGTCGGCCGCTCCACAATCTTGACAGTGGGACAAGGACTCAGGGCATTATCTCAGACAACAAAAGACTGTTTCAGAATCACCCCAAAGACAGCTCAGAAAAAAAATAAAAAGATTCAAAACAGGACATCAGAACTGTCTTTGAAGGAAAAAGAATCCATAAATGGCAAAAGTCACGCAAATACCAAACCAGAAAGGACTAATTCCCTGAGCCAAAAATTAAACCCAGACCACCATGGTGAAAGGGCAGAATCTTACTTCATGAGCTACACCATGGGGCATTTGCCATTGCTTTTCCCAGAAGGAATCTAGAGCGGACCGTTTTGAGTTTGTAAAGGAGTTTAGCTGCTCAGGATAATTTCCCTGGCTAGCCATGGCACTATTGTGTGTCTTTTTTTATAAAAAGAAATGATTTTCTCATCGACTGTTTAGAATAAGAGATCTCTAAAATCTATAGTACAAGACTGCTCACACACATTCTCCCCCCCGCCCCCCCATTAATCAAAATCTTACCAAGGGTACAAGCAGTGACTTTTGTCAGCTCCACTGGGGAGCACAGAGGGAGAAACCAGGAGCCTAGCTGGTGAGAAATTCTTGTCCTTTTGCCAACTCATCAGACTCCAGCCCCCAGGAGGGCAGAGTAGCCCTGGTGATCCTGTTCACTGCACCACAGCTGTGGGGTCCGAGCCATGTTATAAAGCACATTTTCCATTTCATGGACCTTTAGGAAAAGCCTCCAAGTTTTGCAAGATGCTGCCCAGTGGGCTGCGTGAGGGAACTTAATTAACATTTCTCTTTCTGGCTTGAGCAATATATACATAGCAAACCCAGACACTGGTCACCCTGCTCAGCACCCAAGCACCAACCTGACAAGGCTCAAACTTGCCATTGTTTGGCCCCTCTTGTCTTAGTTGCATTCAAGGTGGAGAGGGATGACCTCCAAACAGGAGTTTCAATGCGTGATCTCTGGGCAAGATGGAAGAGCAAATAGTCACCTTGAGTTAGGCCTGCTGAGCTTCTGCTAACAAGTCCTTTGGTGCTCCTCGAATATGACCGATCAGACAAACAAGGAGAGTTTCCCAAGTTTTGCCTGCTGGATTTCCACCAGCAATTCCTTCAGGGGATTTTCTCCACACATACAAATATGTACAACAAGGGAAAGATATAAGACCTTCAAATCAAAATTGCAAATTAAAGATTTCTAAGAATATTCTTCTAAGCAGGTATTCTATTCTCTAACTGGGGAGAAATCTCCTCAAACTGTGACCCTTCCTACTATTTAGTGACAGCCAACAAAGACCTACAAAGAGCCACAAGACCTTCAAAGAGCCTAACCAATTGAGAGAAGGATATGGTTGTTGGTTGTGCTTAGAATATTTACCAGAAGATTTCTTCAAATCCCCTGAAAAATTTATCCACTGCAAAGTAGGTTTAAGCACTGTGGGTTGACTGTGCTCCATTGGCCAAGATGGCACCAGAGGTGCCCTCAGTTCAACCACTTGGGCTCACCTCCAGATCTGTCATACCAGTGAGAGGCTGCCAAACTGAGGGCAAGTGCCCACAAAGGCTATCCCAGATGAGCCCCCAAATTTGTTACAGCCCAACAAGTCCTTCTTGCCCCCTGCCCAGGAAAGCTAGTGCTCTGAGAACAGCAGGTATTACAGGCAAAACAAGAACAATAAAAAGAGTTGAATAATCACAGGGCCAGCCAAGTGAAAGGATGGATGTATTTCTCAAATACACTCCCCTAAGAACTCAGAAGCTACAGCTTTTTTAAGGACAGTTTGGAAAGCAGGAGAGTAGGCAAAGGGGAGTGGTGATTGGTTAGGTCAGGAATAAAATCATAGGTAATTGACATTGTCTTGTTGCCCTGAGTCAGTTCCTGGATAGGAGTCACAAGATCAGTTGATTAGTTACTTTTCTTTCCTTTTCTTTTTAATTTTTTACAGTTGAGATAGGGTTTCACTACTTGGCTCAAGCTGGAGTGCAGTGGCACGATCATAGCTCACAGTAACCTTGAATACCTGGGCATAGGGAGGCTCTGCCAGTTTCCCAAGGTTTTTGGATTACAGATGTGAATCACCACGCTGAGCCTTGAGTTAGTTTCTTGGTATGAGTTACCAGTCTGGGTTGCATCAGGTGGTCCATCAGAATGCCAGGTCTGAGAGATACCCAGAACACCAATCTCAGGTTTTATAATAGTGATGTTATATATAAGAATAATTAGGGAGGTTACAAATCTTGTCAGTTCTGGCTACACAACTTCTGAACCATAATTCTAACCTTCTGGCTAATTTATTAGTTTTAAAGAGGTCGTTTCAGTTATTGAGTAAGGAGGAGTTTACTTTCAAAAAAGGACTGTTATCAACTTTGTTTTAAAGTTAAACTATAAAGTAATTTTCTCCCTTAGTTGGAGGAATGAGCAAGAACAGAATGTGAAGTTAGAAGCAAGATGGAGTTAGCTATGTTAGATTTCTCCCACAGTCATCATTCTTGCAAAGGTCTTTATTAATCATCATTTTTTGGATCTGAGAAAATCAACAAAAATAAATTTAAATAAAAATATAGAAATAAGAAAGGTGAGGTTATTTTTAATCTTTTAAAAATCTAGGAGGGGAACATTAAACATAAAAATGATTATGCTGATAATCAAGTGAAATATATTTTTGATGTATTTTGAAAAAATTTACTATTACATAATTAACATTACTGCCCCCAAACTTACCTTCATCCTTGGTGAATAGAAGCCATTTTCTTTCTTTCATGTATGCGTAAATTGAGAGAACAAGAGGTGTCCTAACACCTAAAATTAAACTGCTTATTTTAAAACACATATTCTTAAATGTTTCAGCTAAAATCATCACAGGACATGAGGGGTAAGAAAATTATTAGAGCATATCAACAATCAGTTTCCCACCCTGTGAAGGATCATTTTATACTCTAAATGAGGCAAAAATTAAGGAAGCATTAAGACAACTACAGTGGAAGCTGGAACAGAGACGAAAGCCTAAGAAGTGTAAAATATGTTCTCCGCCACACACTAACTTCATTAACATAAGGGGATTCATATTTATACGTTCCTATTCTAAAGTAGCTAATAAATATCCTAATTCCCTTTAGGTCCTATGAGGCCGAATATTTGCTTACTTATCTGGTCCAAACATTCACTGTCTCTACTCTGGATTTCATGTCAGTGAGGATAAGTGGAAGGAGGAATTCCGTCAGTCTCTGAAGTTTTCCTTGAGAGCATTTACCTCAGCTAAAACGGGTAAGAAGTTCATCGAGCAGAATTCACACTGTGAAAAACAACCCTGTTCCACTTTTGGATGACAATATTTGGAATAAAATATATCAGGAGAACCCGCTCCCCATGTTTAACATGGGTTCTTTTCTATTTCCTAAGTGTCTCGGCTGGGTTGAGAAATAAAAGGAAAGAGCACGAGAGAGAGAAATTTAAAGCTGGGTGTCCGGGGGAGACATCAATGTCGGCAGGATCCGTGATGTTCCCCCAGCCGTAAAACCAGCAAGTTTGTATTAGCGATTTTCAAAAGGGGAGGGAGTGCAGGAATAGGGTGTGGGTCACAGAGATCACATACTTCACAAGGTAATAAAATATCACAAAGCAAATGGAGGCCGGGCGAGATCACAGGACCACCCGATGAGGTAAAATTAAAACTGCTAATGAAGTTTCGGGCACGCATTGTCATTGATAACATCTTATCAGGAAACAGGGTTTGAGAGCAGGTAACCTGTCTGACCACAATTTATTAGGTGGGAATTTTCCCTTCCTAGTAAGCCTGGGAGCACTATAGGAGACTGGGGCTTATTTCATCTGGCTTCGACCATAATAGACTGGACGCCTTAAAAAGGGGCGGTCTATAGGCCTACCTTCGGGGCGCATTCTCTTTCTCAGGGATGTTCCTTGCTGAGAAAAAGAATTCAGCGATATTTCTCCTATTTGCTTATGAAAGAGGAGGAATATAACTCTGTTTCCGTCTGGCGGCCTGTTCAAAGTTACCTCTCTTGTTCCCTGAACATCGCTGTTATCCTGTTCTTTTTTAAAGATGCCCAGATTTCATATTCAAACACACATGCTCTACAAACAATTTGTGCAGTTGACACAATCACAGGGTCCTGAGGCGACATTCATCCTCCTCAGTTTGCAAAGAAGATGACGGCATTAAGAGATTAAAGTAAAGACAGGCATAGGAAATCGTAAGGATATTCCTTGGGGAAGTGATAAGTGTCCATGAAATCTTCACAATTTATGTTCAGAGATTACAGTAAAGACAGGTGTAAGAAATTATAAAAGTATTAATTTGGGGAACTAATACATGTCCATGAAATCTTCACATTTTATGTTCTTCTGCCGCGGCTTCAGTCGGTCCCTCCGTTTGGGGTCCCTGATGTCCCGCAACAAAAATATTTTCTTGAATAAATGTGAAATTAAATTTTAATGAATTCTACTTTCGACTAGTTTGTTGAGCTTCTGTAAATTATTTTATATCCCTTTTCTCACTTAAGCTATGTTGTTATGTAACTTTATTTTTCTGCTTTCACATCTCACTGTATTAACACAGAATTAGCCATCATATTTAATAACAAATTAAAATAAGCATATTTAAATGCCGTAGAATAAAGACTACTTTATTAGTAATAGCCATAAAGATTTCAAGCTTCTTATAAAATTATTTTGAAATTATAGTAAAATTATAAATGCAAATGATCAAATAAGACAATAAAAATATAACCAATAATATCAAATCAGACAAGAAAGGA